CAATGCTTCATATTTGGAAGGTCAATCAACGCTAATTTAATTACTTTCAGTTGCAATGTAATGTTATAAAACTGATCTCAAAAGAATCTGACATTGTTTTATTAAGACATTGTTTGCGATGATGCTACTTGTATTTGTTTTCTACACCGACATTCCTCTTCTATAAATAGAAATGATTTAAGAAGCAAATTGTTTTGTCTTAGGTAGCAGACGAAAAAAAATATTGAATAATAGTCGCACTGTGGTTAAAATTCGATCTTTATTCATAAAATTATTAAGTTTACATATTAAGGAATTAATATGTATTTCAATTTAAACTCTCAGTACCTGTACATATCATGTATTATTATCTATATTTTCAACTGCACCTTAATATATAAAACCCACATTATAATTTACAAAATATAAATTAAACGCCACTGACCTCTATATATACGCCTAAAACGTCTTATACACGGTCCATCTTGACGTACGTCCCGCCAAGGTCATGCACGATGCACGATGCAAAACGACAATGAGTTGGCTTGACGTACGTCAAGTACTCAGCAGCAAGCATTCTTCATTCAGTCAACTTATCAGCAATAATTATTCTTTTTTGTGTTTGACATTTAAAGTATAAACGTAAACAAACGACAGAATAAATATTGGCAAATGAAAAATCCCACAGCACAGTCCTTAAGTCCGCCTGTACTTATCAAATTCCTACATGCCTCATACATTCGTTACTTCATCTAGATCGACCATCAACTAGATCGTCCTACTTGCGCTTATCAGGACTAGGTTGCCGTTAAAATACGTTTTTTGATTTGTTGTTAAGCTTTCATAGTCTAAACCTTGCTACTTCTATTTATGAATCTTTTAAACCATAACTCTAGTTTTATTATTACTTTTAAAGTATGAGCGGTGAAATCCACGTCTCAGTTCCATGCGTCATCATTAGTGACTCGGACTGTTGCATGCTTTTATTTTCAGATCTTAAAAAATTACGAGTGATGAGAATATTATGTGCAATTTTGTCGCAGTATATATGACCGTGGCTTGGTCACCTACAGAAAAACTAAGAAGAGCCTAAAAACTCGCCTGATGTGTTTTTTTTAAAATAATGGTGAGAAACGAGCACACAGTCAACCTGATGATAAGTGTATGCTGTGGTCCATAGACATCTAGGGTTAAAAATCAAAATGCGGGTGCGTTGTAACCCCTGAGCACTAAGATAAAATGACTCCAATTGAGCTTATGGAGCCTATCCGGATGTAAACTGGTGTGAAGGAAAATTTGAGGAGGGGTCATCTTTTCCTACTATCCGCACCCAAAGTAGAGTTGCGTAGGGAAAATTTGTTAGGAGAATCATGATGGGAAATTTTTTTACGAGGTAGAGCCATGCTTCAGCTATGTATATCATAATTGTAGCACGAATGGGTTGGCTCGACCGGGGAAGAACGATGCTCTCTTAGAATTCTAGCGTAAAATAGCATCTCAATGCTGCTGTGTTTCGTATGATGAGAGTAGATAACTAGAGACCCTTGTTACTGGATACGAGGCATTCCATTTTAATTCTCAGGGGTGACAACACATCTGCATTTTAATTATTAATCAAAGATAAATATAGATGTCTATGAGCCACAGCATCCACTTACCATCAGGTGGACACATCCAACCTGATGGTAAGTGGATTGAAGTGGCTCACTTTTCACCCTTATTCTATAAAAAAACAATCCACCAGCACTGTTATTAGATGAAAGAAATTCATATATTTTTGCCCATAAAATTATTATGACCTTTGAGGTCAAATGCAATGTCCTCGTAATCCAAAAATAAATAAAACTGTGTGTATAAATATTTAAACACACGATAGCCATTATAAAAACCATTGTAGGATTATACATTTGCACGGCAACTACAATAAGCATAGCGGAACAAAGAGCAGATAAACGATAACACAATTGACTCAAATCATAAAATGTACAATTGGTATGGATGGATGGCAGTACTGAAAGTATTGCATTTGAAATTTAAATTTTAAATAAGCGACTTTTTAAAGCATGAAAGTTTAGAATATTTCAAGATCATGGACATTTATCTAATATATAAAAATTTATTTTTGTTTGTTCATATTTTATGTGCTGCCATATCGTTAATCAGATGGCGGTAAAACTTTATCAACAAATTGCTTGCAATTGCAAGGTTATAGACATAGTACTCGTACAATTACTTACAGTAGGTAGCGTGGGTATAAAAAAGTTATATCATTCAATTTCAATGATTGTATTATTATTATTCCTATATTAACAATATAATTCTTCCAAATTAAAACCGATATTTCCACAATAATTTTTTTTTTCAACGACGGCTTGCAGAATCCAACGGCGACGTTTGTGTGAGTGGCACTACACTCCGGACAAGACAATGCTCCAAGGAGCCCAGAGGGGCGTCAATGGAAATCTGATATCCATCCGGATAAGAGGTTAGCAGAAGGTCCAACAGGGAAGTTGCGTGATTCTCCTCATCTGGAATCCGCGTAGGCGAAGTAAACCGCTCTATAAGACCTTATGCCAAGGCAAAGTCATAAACAGATCTCCCCACGTGATCGGTTAAGTGTGGTGGGCGTTAAAATTGCCAATCTCTCCGAATGGATCTGCTATAGTAAGGAATCTCTAGCCATTTGGACGCGGTCGATGTGTTGGTCTGTTTCGATGTTACCGCTATGAGAAAAAATCAAAAAACCCTTTGGTGGTAGCTTCTAATATCGATGATAAAACATTCTTTCTTAATAATACCATCCTGAATATGTATAATGTTTTTGGTCCTATACATTATGAACATAATAGAATAGAATAATTTTTATTCAATATAGATCACATATAAGTTCTTATTGAAAGTCGTTTTTTACTTTACTATGTAAAATTTAAGCGTCATCCTGCTCCTTGGATGACTAAAGGGGTACAAGTGGCAATGGCACGTCGAGATCCTTTTTAAACTTCTGGAAAGCCTTTCCAGAAGTTTAAAAAGTATCTCTCTGAACAAAATTGGTCCGACTTCAAATTGCTAAGAAATATATTATGCAGTCTGGTGATACGAAATGCTAAATGCCGCTACATTATTTATAACTTTTCGCCCACTGATTTGTAGAAATTAATTTCATTGTGGAATTAATAAATCGAATTCCCTGGAATGTGGCTCCTTTCTCAATTTGGATGACGTTACTCGTAATCGTCACTTTGATTCTATTACTTCATTGGACACTCAAATCCGTTCTCAAAGTATTGCTTCTATAGAATCTATGCAGTGTTTTCGGATCTCTTACTTCTCCCCTGTTACTCAGGATGAAATAAAAAAGCTCTGTTAGCCTTTAAATCCAAGGCTTGTTGTTGTCCTTGTGTGCCTACTATCAGCTTCTACACACATTATAAATTATGCTCTGGACATCCAGTAACACCCTTCTGCTTGGAAAAAGGGTTTTATAAAACCTTTTTTCAAGATACCTTACCCTGTACTCCGCAACCATTTTTGTCCAATTTCAATTCTCCCATAATTCACAAAATTTCCGGAATTTGTTTTTAAGCAAATATCTATGTTCATTGCAAAACATAACCTTGTGTATGAATTTCAATAATGAGCAGAACTTAAGAGTGGTTGCGCTTGTAGACTTTTCAAATGCTTCAACACAATTGATCATGGTATCCTCTCTACCATAAACACCTCAGGTCAGCGTTTTTATGCATGGGCCAAAATTGAATCTGGTGTTCCACAAGGCGGAATACTTTCTCCTATTGTATTTTCCTTATTTATAAATGCTATCTCTTCAGTTTGGGATTGTTCATAGCATCTGTTTGCGGATGACCTTCAGCTCTATGTACAGTCTGGCGTAAATAGGCTTTACTTTGTAACACAAAAACTAAATATTAACCTGGAAGCCATAAGGGAATGGTCGTGCAAATATGGCTTTTCAGTTAATCGAGCTAAATGCAAAGTGATAATCTTCGGAAGTTCACAATTAATGGCTAAGATTGATTATAGAAAACTTTGAATTCACAAAAAAATATCAGGCTTATACATGGATAAAACAATGACTTGGAAATTGCAGATCTCTGAAGTAAGTCGTAAAGTTTATTTGAAATTATCCCAAATTAAATGTGATTTATGGGCAATAACTACGCGTACCACTCCTCTGTGTGCGATTCAATTCACAACGTTTTTGTCGACCGATCGACCCATAGGAATGTTTGCGTGCGTAGTAAAATAGTAGGGCGTTAGATATATTATAATGAATGACAATCAGTTAAAATAATTCATTACCACGCATTTTGAATTTAAAAAATAGAAGGTTCAGAATATTTGAGTTTTTTTTTCATTAATTTTATTCATCATTTGGCTATATTATTTATTCTGAACCGTTTCTGCAAATTTAACTGGTTATTGCAAAATAACCCTGTATATATATATATATGTACACTTCACATAAGTATTATGTTTCGCACCTGCCAACAATTGTTTTTGACATCCAGGGTTGATTGGCTGAGAATGCTACATGGCATTAAATCCGCCCTAAGTACCCTTTACTTTAAGGTTTACATTTAAGTTTTTTAAATAAATAAAAAATAAAATACGCCGTCATTTGACAGATGTCTCGTTCATAACGAACAGTACAGTGCAGTACCGTGTGGAGGAAAAACCTGGCATTTTCTGAATTTATATATTCCCTTCAATATCTATAACATGAGTCTTCAATGTCAATAATTCATACATCTATATATCTTTTTTAAATAAAGTTAGCCTGAATCCGTAGTTTTTGTGGTCGCACTGTAATCATTAAATCTAATGATAGTTTCACCGCCACAGTTTTTTTAACAAAGCTTGTCGTGAGGTGAAATGATTGGCTGTGGGTGACATTGATTTAATTTTCTTACATATTCTATTATTTTATATTATACCTACTAATGTTAGTAGTTAATATTTCAGTAACGAATACAAAAATATTGTATGTTTCAAAAATTGCCATTATGTTAAGTGCTATTGCGGATAGCTTACATTATCAAGAATCAGTAAAATTTAGCATTAGCTCATTCTTTGAATCGGCGGTACCTGTAGCAATACACCCGTTAATAGCTGCAGGCTCGGATAGATGTAAGTATAAACATTATATTCCATATTTGCAAGAAAATGTATGTTTTATTACAAACAAAAAAAATATTTCATTTTATAACTTTAGATAAATAAATTACGTGTCTTTTTTCTGCCATTTGCATATTTATAACTACACAAGTGAAACTTGGTTAAATTACCACCATTTTATGCTTTTGTTTTTATCCTTTTCCCTCTTAATCTCCCGTTCATCCCTTAGGTGAAACAATCAAGAGGTTTTTTGGCTTAACTTATGACCAAATGCAAAGCAAAAATGTTCAGAAGTTTCACGAAAATCTTAATATAGACTTTGTTACCAACAAAGGAATTGTGAAATTCAATGTAACTACTGCAGACTTTGTAGCTAAACTTATTGATCGTTCGAAAACTACTGTTATTTTGATTCACGGCTTCATGGAGAGCTCGGACGGTTTAATGGTAAAAGCAATTGCCACTAAATTATTGACAAGACAAGATATCGATATATTAGCTTTAGACGGCCGAAATGCAATAACTTTTGAATATTTCCGATCTACAACTTACGTACGAATAATCGGAGAAAAACTGGGAGAATTGCTAAGTATTATAACAAAAGGTGAGTATATACTTTTTTTATAAGTTTTAGAAAAACTTTGGGTCTAAATGTTTCAACACGTTAATTTACAAGGGTACGACTTGATGAGTGTATTTTAGTGTGAATGTCTAAAAGAAATATACCATCTTTTGTAAGTCACAACCTCACTATAAACGATGTCTTATGTTAATCAACGATTAAAGCTCTGGCGACCGACCAATGATGAAATTCTCCTTTTTTTTTCTTTTTCATCAGCCTACAAAATTTCACTGCTAAAAATATTCAAGGCAAAATTGTCATGCTTGGCAAGCAGACTGACGATCTATTATCGATGCCTGGCATCTTTAACGCTGCTGCCTCATTTCAATATTTTTGTTTGATTACGCTTACCATAAATGAGATATTTATATCTGCAGCTATTAATATTTTGGCATTTTCTATAGTCACCTCTTACGCCACCCACGGGATAAGATGAGGTGATGAGTTCTCTCACGCTGCCATCATATGGTGTTTTTAAAATATGCTAAACCCAAATCCTACAGGAATTGTACTCACTAAACTGTCTACATATCGTGATAAGTGACTCCTCCTAAAGGGCTAGATTGACTTTGAAGATTTTTGTGCGTGTTTGAGTGGGTGGAGTGATCTCTTGTCAAGATTCAGAAGTCACTAGTGTGTAGCCGAGGAGGATCTTTTTTATTATTGTTTTTCTTATTCTCAATTCAATATTTATAACTTGTAAATTTTCTTCGTAATATTATGTAATTCCTGATTGTTTTAACAAGGGTAGGAGTTTATATGTAAAAGAATGTGTTCCAGATGATTTGCCAAACCTACATATACATGGATTAACGCCAAATGGCAAAACTTCATTAACGAAATTTTTATTTTTAATTGGTATTATGACTTTATTTCAGGCGGCCAGGACGCTAATAGAATTGTTCTTATAGGACACAGTTTGGGCGCCCACATAGCTGGCGTAGCTAGCAAAACGTTTCAAGATCTCACAGGTAGATCTATTGGACATATTATAGCTTTGGACCCTGCTGGACCATGTTTCAGCAACATTAGTCCCGATAACCGCCTGGACCGCAGTGATGCAGCCTACGTGGATGTTATTCATACTAACGCCGGTATACTTGGACTAAAAGAGCCTGTAGGTAAATAAATGCTGGTTATATTCATGCATGATCTCGAACTACAACTTGTTAGCAAAACACGAAATCCATAGTATGAATTTCTCCTATATCGTGAAGGCATTTTTTACAAAAATTGTAATATTTAGTTGTATATAGTCAAAAGCTTAGAGCGTAGTAAGTAGAGCCACGGTACAGCAAAGATGGGTCGGATCGAACGAAGAAGTGCCCCGTTCTATAATAATACCAGCGTGAAATGATATATACATAGAATAGTTCATAATAATGTCCCCTAGATCGTTAGTCGGTCACGGTTGCCAGTCTCAACTGAGTCTAGCCCTGAGCAGGGCAGGATTATAGTGCACGAGTAAGTGAGCAAGCACAGGTGCACTCTACGAGTATAGAGATTGTGATTGGACTATGAGAGTGAGGGACTATTCCCTCACTCTTATTTCAATTTCTCCAATGGCAATCTCACGACCGGAGAGAAATCATACCTAAATAATATCTAAACAATTTACTCTCAACATTGACACAATTTAACTCAAGAATCAAGTTACAAAATATGTGAAATCAAGTGCAAAATCACAGGGTCAAAACACCGCCAATTCCCTGACAGAAAAGCCCCATAACTAATTTTAGAACAAACGATTTGAACCCTGAACCACATGATTGTAGACTATACCACATTATCATCATTACAGCCTTTCATAAGTCCACTGCTGAACATAGACCTCCCCCAAGGAATGCCACAAAGCACGGTCCTGAGCCACCTGCATCCATCGACTTCCTGCATGTCTTACCAGGTCCTCACTCCATCTCGTTGGGGGTCGCCCTACACTTCGCCTACCAGTACGAGGCTGCCACTCGAGAACCTTTCTTCCTCATCGGTTGTCGGTTCTTCGAGCTATATGGCCGGCCCACTGCCACTTCAGCTTACTAATCCGTTGGGCTATGTCGGTTACTCTAGTTCTACTGCGGATATCCTCATTTCTAAGTTTATCACGCAGAGCAACCCCGAGCATAGCCCTCTCCATAGATCGCTGAATGACCTTGAGCTTCCTCATACGGCCAGCAGTGAAGGACCACGTCTCAGATCCGTAAGTCATCACTGGCAACATGCACTGGTTGTACAATTTCGTTTTAAGGTTTTGAGGTATGTCTGACGAGAAGATGTGTCGTAGTTTCCCGAACGCGGCCCAGCCGAGTTGAATACGTCGACTATACCTATTGTTTTTTAAATAAATTCACTATCCGCAGAACGGCAGTCAAACTTACTTAGCTTACTTTGCCACTTAGCTTAGCTCAGCTTTTTTATTGTCATAGAGGTTTGCGGTTTTCTTCATTTGCGAGTAACACTTCACTGCTGGACATGGGCCTCAACCATTGTAGAAAGTATTTGTCGTAATCACCATTCTACACAAAAGGAAAGGAGTAATCGTCTCATTAATGTCTTTTTTATAGAATTACCAAAAGCCAAACCCACCATCAGGTGGGCTGTGTGTTCGCTTGTCACCCTTACCCAAAGCATCCACTTACCATTACGTGAACTGTGTGATTGTTTGTCACCTTTATTCTTAAAAAAAGGATGCAGTGGCCCCTAGACGGAGATGATCTGCCTCGTTTCCAGTAAATAGGGTATCCGGTTCTCTACACTCACCATACGAAACCCCGCAGCATTGAGCTATTAATTTTTACTGGTATTACGTGAGAACATAATTCTTCCCAGGTTGAGCTGAACTATTCGTGCTTCAACCGTAATATAGCTACAACATGGCTATACCATTGTTACGGCCCACAGCTGCCCCTGCAAAGGTCGCCTTGGCTAGGGCCCATAGTAGCCTCTTCGACGGGCAGCCGTGGGTACGGGCCCAAATGGCCTTATGGAACAATGACCTATCATACTACAAAATAAGGAGAAGGCTAGGAAAATAATTGGTACGTACCTGCATCCGAATCTAAGACCACCCCAAGGCTCGGTTAGGCCGTAGGTAGAGTATATGGATGTAAAGTGGTGTTTAGTGGTGTGTATATGAGGGGGACCTGGCCCAGCTGAGGTGACCTGGCAGCGCGACGGTTTCCATGCTGCCCCACAATGCTGCATCACTCCAGCAGGCGTCCACCATGGACAGTTTCTTTCTTCATTGTCACTATTTCAGTCTATTAACTTTATTGTACATTTAACTAACTTAAACTCGCCTTATTCCACATTCATCGTAGAATCGAACACGTGATACCCGACACAGTAACGGACAGTAGTTCAAAGTTCAACATTCAATGTCCCGGTTTCATTTATCACCAAATTACAAATAGGAAACTAACGCGATCTCTTCATGAGTCACACGGTTCAGCGTTAAACACAACTAAGTTCCTTCTTTCCATACTTAATCAGTCGAACACAATACAAGCCTCTTGTCAAGAACTTAAAGCCTAGACAACCTAATCCGAGGTGGTTTTCACAAAACCCCAATTACGTAGCGATGTTGCTCGCACAAATTCTAAAAATCTAGACCGTAACCCCAAAATCAGTCGCGCGAAACTTCGGCAGCGGCAACCGAGGTATGCTAATTAACTGTACCGCTGCCAGCGAGCTACTGCCAACTACTTCAGCCAGCGCGTTGAGCGACTGCCCGCGGCACGCGGTCGTCTCCCCCCGCCGTCGGCATTACCTCACCTCGACATCATCGGGTGATTCGACAAAGTCGAAGGTGATTGGGTGCCGTCTCAAAATGCCCATTTTTGGGCATAAACAAACATTTATAAATAAGTTGTTAATTTCTTATCCATTATGAAACTGACTAAATCTAATGCAAAATTTTATGGTTTTCACTAACAGGTCACAAAGATTTCTATCCCAATGGCGGATTATCACAGCCGGGTTGCTTCTTTTCTACTTGTGACCATTCCCGAGCGTGGGAGATATTTGCAGAATCTATAAACTCCCCTGAACGTTTTCCTGGTTAGTATGCAGCTTTAATTCTCATATATCTCAGACATCTGTTTTAGTTAGCTAAACGCAAGAGTAAATTACTCTATATGTAGAATGGCGTAAAAGGAAATGATTTATTAAATACCTTACCATTATGACTTCGTAAGGTGGGGCCGGAGGACTGTGGTTACCTTTTCAAATTACGCTAGTAAAAATGTAAAAAATATCGAAAGTTATATACGCTTTGAAGTTCTGGAAAGAAGATAATAAACACATCTACACTCACCGAGGATATATATTGAAGATGCTGCTGCCCATCTCCTATTTAAGTTTCCCTTTGCCTTCTCTTACGACACCCACGGGATGAGACGGTAGGCGGTTCTCTTATGTGACTTATACTACACGACATATAATTGTAAATCATTTTTCATTTACTATGCAATAAAATAAATCTAATTTTTATATCTCTTTCAGCTCGCAAATGCAGCAACTGGACAATGTTTCATAACGGGAATTGTGTAAAAAACGAAGTCGCTTTTATAGGCATTGATTCAAAATCAGGCAGTGTTGGATCTTACTTTTTGCATACCGCCTCATCCACACCATTTGGTTTAGGAGCTGCTGGTAGCAGATAACGTGTAAAAATACATTTAAATTAAAATAAAAACACTATAATATATATCAAAGCATTTAAGTGTGTTTAAAATTGTTTATTTCTAGATCAAATTTAACTTTTTTTTACTATACAAACTTGTAACAAGATTTAAGGTTAGGCGGGAAATTCGGTAAAAATGCTTCCGAAGACAAGATTTACTTTTGTTTACTTTTTACCTTGTTTTCTTGCTGATAGACGTTGTTTTCTCTCTTGATTACTATAAATATTTAATATCGACGCAATATATTGCGTCGACATTAAACATTCTTGCCTGTGTAAAGTAAAAGTAAAGATACAGCCTTTATTCGCCCCACTGCTAGGTACAGTTCTCCTCTTATTACTGCGAGGGTTGTAGAGCAATTAGTCCACCTTGCTGACTTGTTTCGTTTTTCAAAGTGTTGACGGATGTCCGCGAAATATTTTATAAAGTGCTCAGAATTGTTATTCCACGATGTTTTCGTTCACCGTTAGGCACGTGGTAAATCAGCACTTGAAAATGCAATAAACAATTTAACCGGTGCCGGCAAAAATCGAACCCGGTTTGCTTAATAGCCCCTGAGCAAAGTTCCACGGCTTTATTGTAATAAATACTTTGCCGCTTTCTACTATTCGCTAACGTTCAATTGTTGTAGACTGTACTATACACTTTTATATTTTACAATTGCAAATATCATGTCTGTACCAGAGTCTGTGCTTTTGCTGTCGCACGGATGGGCCGGCTCGAACCGGGGTGGTACCACGACCTCACAGAAAACCAGCGTGAAGTAGAGGTTTAGTTCTGCGTTTCGCTTGGTGAGTGCAGGTGGCCGGAGGCCCTTTTTACTGGAAATGAGGCATTCCATCTTAGTCTTCACGGGTGACAACGCATCTACATTTTGAGTTGTAATAGAGGATAGATGTAGATGTCTATGGGCCGCAGCAACAACACACAGGACTGTGTGCTCGTTTGTCACCATTATCCTATAAAAAAAAAAAAAAAAAAAGAGAACCATATCAATAGATAATAACTCTTTATTGTACACAAAACCAATATGCGAACGGAAAAAAAAGAAAAAAAAAGATAAAAAAGTATTCTGATGGTGGCATATCACGACGCGTGATTATGCAAACCGCGCCGCTGCGAGCCGATTTAACTTGTTCTTACGGCGTGGCGCGAAACACGTTAGAATCACCACGCCGTATCACCGTAAGAGACAAGTTCCATAAAGCTGTTTTTTTTTCATATAGAATTGAAAATTTGAAACTTGTTTCATTGGTCTACTCAATATTTACGCATGCGAGAGTGCTTCACGATCGTAAGAGTCATAACTAAATGAAAATAGCAACGTCCCGCCCCGCAGACTCGAGTCACCAAATGCTCTCGCGCCGCACCTTGTCACGCTACGCCATATCTTTAAAGTAACCGACTTCGAGCTGATCGGTCGTGACATTATGTGCTAGCCCACGTCGCCTTAAGCCACTACCTCCACAATGCCTAGGCCGCACACATCGCGATAACGCGATGTATGTAGCAAAATATTTGTGAATACGTCGTTACTTCGTGCGTAATCGCAAGTACACCGCTTCGCTGGCGGTAATCTCTTACACATCAAAGCGGTAGTTGACGTGTTGAACTAAATTAGGATTTGCGACGTATTTTCGACATGAATGAGAGGATTTTAGAAATTATTAGTAATAACAAGTCTGAAACGTCTAAAGAATAAAAATAATTATTCGCTGCCATATAATAAAGGGCGACCGGGGCGTCTATTTTGTGTTTAGCCTGCGTTTATCGCGATAAACCATCGGATAAACTTTACAACGCACAATGTGGCCAGGCACATTCACCGTAGGCTGAAGGCGAAGTTTTATCGCTGGAATACCATCGCTATATGTGCGGTCTAGGCACAAGATGCGTAGGCACAAACTGGCGCGCGACGGACGTCGACCGTGTTAGAACAACTTTCTTGCGGAATATCATCGTAAAATAACAGCTAAATGCTGCTGTGTTTCGTATAGTAAGTTTAAAGAACCGGAGACCATATTTACTATAAAATAAGTATAATAATCAAGTCACTCACATCCAAAGGACGCACCAGAATCGTCGCAATGCAAGAACGTGACTCAGCCCGCAGTGGATGAACATGAACAACCCACCACCTCCCAGGACCCCACCAACCTTGCAGTTGTACGGACCGAATCTCGAGAGATACACGCGGTAATTGCTTAGGGCTCTTTCCCGCGTGCACTTTCTTGACTCTCAGCGAGTTATTCACTCTAGCCCTTGTCCCGTTGTTCCACTCTCCCTTTCTGGGCTGGACGAACACTGTACGCCTTCAGTTCCGGGCAGGTCTTGTTTTCCCTCTAGCTTTTCCATTGCTGTTCTCCCCACATGCCATCCATGCGCAAACTCCGCCTAAGGTCTCCTTACCGTCCACGAGGTCCGGGTAATAAATCAGACCCATCCTTCCGCGTACTATTCCGTCCATCATCTTGCATCTCAGGTCATCATACAACACGAACTCCCATAACACGTGGTACCTGTCCTCATAGGCAGCACCGCAATCACACATACCAGATTCAACCTATTTCATTTCATACAGTCTCTTTCGAAAGCATACATGTCCGCTGAGGATCTGAGCGACTTGATAGTCCGGCACGACCCAATTCGCATTGAGTCGCGCCGACACGTCCAGGAAGACACTGAATAACTCTCTTCCATTCGTCTCATTATTCTATCGTTCTTGCCATACATTCAAGACATCCACTCAAATCTCACGCTTACGTCTGCTCAACTCACCATTTCTCGCGCCTGCTCGCGCACGTTCGATGCTACCAGCACGTGTCACCTCAAGGTCAGCCGAATGAGCATGGAAAGTCGAAGTATTTTGTCAACTTATCATTGGGTTTGAGAAAGAAAGAAAGAACGAAAGACATTTATTGTTGAAACAAGATTGAAACAAGGGAAGACCCATTTGGTTGATTTAATATTACTTGTTGTGAACGGCCGCATTGTAACTTTGAAACCATTTTATGGAAGATGTTACAAAACCATAAAACGATAGCTTAGACAGCAGCAAATCTATGTTAATAGAATCAAATGCTCTTGAAAAATCAAGCAGGGTAAGGATAGTACCTCTACCAAAGTCTTGAGATGTAAGAATATTGTCAACCACGTCAAGTAAAGCAGTAGACGTGCTTCTACCTTTTCTAAAACCCGATTGTAAGTCAGGTAAAATATTGCTAGTATCATAAAACTTGATGATTGCTAACAGGTTGGTTTACTAACAGTTCTCGAAACTGGAACCAATTTAAGCAGACCAGGAACGGGAAGAGCCAGATGTTTGCCACCTTGAACGAGAGGAAAAAAGATATCTCGTCTTAACCATGACAAATGACGGTAATTACACTTTCTGCAGTTGGATACAAACAATTATGCATAGACAGATTTTCACGAGGCAGGGCCATGGTGCAACTATATTATAGTTGTAGCACGAACGGGTTGGCTCGATCGGGGAAGAACCACGCTCTCACAAAATACTAGCGTAAGATAGCAGCTCGATGCTGAAAGAAGACCCTTTTAACTAGATACGAGCCATTCCATCTTAGTCTTCAGGGTAGAGAACGCATCTGCATTTTGATTCTTAATCGTGGATATAATATGTATGCTACAGCATCCCTTTACCATCAGGTGGACTATGTGCTCGTTTGTTTCTTTATATATACAAAAATACATTCGTTTATTTCTTACACTACTTTCGCCAAACTGCAGGGCAGTTTATTGGCGATTTATGCAAGCATCTATGCAGGTCTAGAAATAGCAGTATCACTACACCCTATAAGATCTATTGTGATTGTTGCTAAGTCTTTAGTTCACTGCTAAGCCCTATGTCTTCAATGAATTGAAGGAGTTTCTTAGCTGTGAATAATTTCACTTTTTCTGGGCTATGCACATAGTTTCACAGATAAGTGTTACGTTTGCACATTAAAGGTCCACAATCAGAATATGTAGAGGTGTTTCTTCCGTTAAGGAACAGAATCGGCACATCCTTGGTTACTTAGCCCCAGGATAGACATGTGTTTTTTTAGACTACAGTGTCTAGTCAGGGCTCTTGCCAGAATGCGCAACTTATCCTTACTTAATCACAGAGCGTATGAAGCGAATTTACGATCACAAGCCCGGATTAAGGTTTTAGAATGTTCTTAAGCATGATGTATCAGATCAGACCTTAAGTAATTTATTATGATAAGGAGTTTCAAGGGTCAATCGGGCCAGGCTTTTTAAGATTCCACAAAAAGCTCGGGTTCAAATTGTGTACGCTTTGAGCCCTCCCGTGCAAGCTTATCATCAAGTCCATTGCCCACGATGCTCGCAGGACAGGAACCCATCTCAAAACGATCCTCTTGTTACACCCCATGGCGTTTAGACGGTTCACACAGTCTCCAACTAGCTTCGGAGTAGAGTTTAAGTTTGATATCAGCGCTAGCAGTTCTGCTTGACTATCAGAGTTTATATAGACAATATGGTCACCGTAGTGTTTGTGCAGGTTGATTTACGCACAGTAAAGTGTGGCGAAAATTCTGCCTGGAAGATAGAGGTGAATTTGTCCAAATTCATACTAAGCTTGAATTCGGGGCGTTCCCCATAAATTTCAAAGCCTACGTCGATGCCTAGTTTTGGCCCATCCCTATACAATATAAGGCTACCAACCTCACAAATAACCTGTCCATTCCAGTCCAGCCAGTCTTCTTTTGAGGTTAGCTCCTTATTAAAATCCTATAGTGGACGCTGAGATCATGCAACATTCATTGAGTCGAACAGGGATCTCAATCTGTAGGAAAACATATCGCATTATACATATCGCAAACATATTGCATTAATAGCCGCTCCAGTTGATGATCGCATCGATCCAGTTACCTTTAAACAGATTGTCTATTCTTTGTAGACTCTTTTAGCCTGTCCGCTGTCGTCTTTTGGTTGGCATTATTACACCAAACAATGGAGGCGTAGGTAACAATTGGCCCCACTATGCTGCTTTACAGCCATAGTATCAAACTGAAACGCAAGCCCCAGTTGTTCCTAATAATACGACTGCACGTACCTAAAGCAAATTTTACCTTATTGCATACGTTGCTAAGGTGAGAGTTCCATGTTAGGTTTTGGTCGATTGTAACGTCCAAATACTTAACTACATTTGGGAATGGTACTTCTTTACCATTGTGCTTCGGTGTAACTAATTTGTCCAACTGTCTCTTTTTGGTAAAGGGTATTATATAAAAGTTTTATGAGCATTAACTGATAAACTGTTACGCCTACACCAGTTATACTTTGAATAGAGTTAAAAAAATACAATTAAATCTTCCTAAGAAGCAAACTATATTCACCAATAGACTTTTGATAAGCTATAATGATAATGATAATGAAAGGAAATAACACAATAAATAAAGATTAAGTTGAAACATTTAATTGCTGAATTCCAAAAGTAATCATTAAACTAGTTTAGTTTTCAAGAGTGTCATTTGATGTCCATTTTAATTACATTGCAACAAATATATCGAAATTCACCTGGAAAACTTTATCATCAATCGTCTATTATCGTCAATATCATGTACATTAACTTATTCAGTATAAGGCCATACTTTATTCCGTTTATTATTTATTCTTTCTGCTACTAGAATTATGCAGACCAAAACATATGAAACCAACATTATAATTAAGGGACTAAGAATGTGATCGAATTGTGTATTTCTGTGGAAAGCATTAATGGTGCAGCTCAATGGAGTATAGTCATTCATAACTATTATGCGTTTCATGATACCAGATTCTTTCATGCGTAGAGTTCTGGAAAATAACCAAAAGACTTGTCTGAGATATAAAAAACGTACCTAAGAAAACATTTAATAATTACACTATGAAAATAAAAATATTATTAAAAAAAAGGAACTGACATCTACTACATTTATCTGTCTAGGAACTAATTTTTCAATCATCAGTTAAAAATTGTGTTTTAACTAATTTATAACCTTACTAAATATAAAAACCAAACAATGGAACTCTTTTATTCATGCAGCTGTAATTTTAATTTGTTTATGTTGCATTTTATACTCAGATCATAGAAACAACAGTTCTATGATCTGAGATTTTATACTATAAATAACTGTTATCTGTTGATTGAAAAACCGACCCATAGTTATAAATTTTAAACTGAGTTTACATCAATTTATGGTGTTCATAATATTTTACATCATGCTATTTTTATAATCAATCATCATTAGTAATTATTTTGCCGACAATTTAAGTTTGGTTTTAATTATTTTGCGTAAAAAGTTAGTTTTAACTTTCCTAAAACGTAAACGCAAATTATATCATGAATTAAATTAAAACTTTATTCATACAGGAAGTTAACAGTTTTGGTTTAAAATGAATTGGTTTAAGTTATTATGAAAGCTCAGAATATTTTTTTAATATAATAAAATAATGTCTTCCAGATCGAATTTAGGCCACGGCAGGCAGACTCAACGGGAATTAGCCACGTGCAGGAAGGATTATAGTGCCCTAGTGTATGCGCAAGCACAGGTGCACCCTCTACCTATAGCTTAACGTGCTTTCAGAGGCATGAGGGTAAATGAAACACCGCCAAATTACAGGTTCCGGGTAGCTATTGAGAATATTTTTTTTCTGTCATGACATATCATATATTATACTAAAGAGCTAACAGACACGTCAGTAAGAGACTGCTTCAGCGCATGGACAGTTGCGACCAAACATCATACACAGAAGACCCTTATTAACTTCCATACCAAGATGGACCTCTAGACAGAAAAAGAACGTGTTAGAGCCATGCTTAAACGTGGTAGAGCCATGCTACAGCTATATTAGTAGTACAGTTGAAGCACGAATGGGTTCGCTCGATCTGGGAAGGACCACGCTCTCACAGAATACCAGCGTAAAATAGCAGCTTAACACTGCTGTGTTTTATGATGAGTGTAGAAAACCGGAGACACTTTTTACTGGAAAAGAGGCATTCCATATTAGTCCTCAAGGGTGACAACGCATCTGCATTTTGATTCGTAATCGTGGATAGATGTGGATGTCTATGTATCACAACAACCACTTACCATCAGGTGGACTCTGTGCTCGTTTGTCATATCCTATAAAAAAGAGCGTACAAACTTGGACTTAGGATATCATTTAATAGTATATTTTGTACTCTTTGAGATATGAATTTCTTCATTGGCCCGAAAATTTCCAGACATGAAACTCCTGTTGTACGAAGAATTTTTCTTAATTGCCACACTAGGCAATAGGATTGACGATCGTAGTGCCAGACATCTCGCAACTTTGAAGCTGCTGGCAGTCGAAGGTCAGGGTATTTAACTTCTTATAGTAAATGAGATGATTATCAGCCATCTGTCAGATTTCATAAGATATTTCAGACATTTTCTGTAATAACGAAAGAACGAAATCTTACTATGGCGACTAAATGGAGTGATATATTCTTTTACCACTTCCAAAACTCAATACAGATCTTCACTGTATCAATCTGATTTGACAGAAAATATACTAACCCAATCTTTAACTTCTCTATATAACGAAATTTTTTTGCAGCGAAGAAATACATCTTAACATTAGAAAAGACATCTACTTCTTTCACTTCACAAATTTCTTCATTTTCGAAGGCTGAAAAAAATATATATAGTAATAAATTAATATTTAAATTTTAAAAAATCCCGAAATATGAAATTTTTACGCAGTAGAACCATGCCGGGGAAATACCACGCTCGCACATAATCCTGTGCTGCTGAGTTTTATAGAGAAGAGTACAGAAGACTCCTTTTTCAGAGGTATCAACGCATCTGTATTTTGATTCTTGTTAGAGGATAGATTTAAGGTATCTTTAGGCCACATCATCCACCTACCATTGCATGGACTGTGTGCTGGCTTATCACCCTCAATAGTATAAAAATATATGTCAAATTATCTATATTACAACGTCGGTCAAGCGAAGGAGGATGGCATTTTTGTTCTCTGATAATCTTTCCGTCATAATTAATAAAATAGAGAAATAAATTACGAAAATCTTTGAAGCTAGTTACTAACTTCTTGCAATGATAGAATATGCTCCAGGATAATCACATAGTAACGCAGTTTTCGTGGTTCTGACTGCCTCCAACCCGTCAAATATATTAATTACTTTGGTACGTGATAGCTTTTCTTCAATCGAATTCATTTTCTTTTCAAAAGTATTTGCCTATAAATAAATATGTTTTCTATTATAATTGTTAATCATGTCCTGTTGTTATACATAAAAGTGAAATGAACAGAAATGTTTTAAAATGCGACTTTATAACTCACTCTTTTCTCTGCAAATATTTTCATATTTTCAACTATGTTTAGTTCATAGTCACTCTCGATCAAAGATTTTAGATCCATTTTGCCGTTTTTATCGGTTACGATGTGCGACAGTAAGTTGGATGTATAAAATGAATGAGCCACGTAGGCGAAACCAACAAAGAAAAAGTACGCCATTCGACGTGACCAGAGAATGGATGATGTCGGTAAACCTAAAAAAGGCACAACAGAAAGTGTAAAATGTAGTACGTACGGTTTTTAAACAGCCTGCAGATACAAAAACATTCTATTCAATGACTCTACCGTTACAGCTTATTAAAATCTACTGCTGAACACAAGCCTCCCCATAGATTGCCCCATAGGGGGATATTTGCCATAGTTGCCACGCTTGGGAAGTGGGTGAGCAACCAATCGCCTTTTTTTTTTTTAATTTTAGTCGTAATTAAGAAGCCGCCCATCTCCAGATTTGTTTCCCTCTGTCGTCTCTTACGATACCCACGAGGTGAAATTGGATAGTAGATATTCTTGCACTGCCACTACACGGTATTACACCATTCAAGGTAATGGTTCGTTTTATCTAACATAGAGTAGACAAGTGCACCTCGCCCGTTTAATAAATGTAAAATATACACGTAGTTTACATTGAAGACATCGAACGTCATTTTACACAAACATAGCGTATAAACACACAAGTTGCTCCCGTGCTAAGACATTTTAAGGCGATCGCTTTTTCTCTTATTTGTCACGGTATTTTACGTAATTATAATAACTATAATTCATGCTGACTTTGCTAATAACTATACGAATTTCGTGTGTCGCTTTGCCCATTCACGATTAGCCATATCATAAATATGAAAGCAAGAATCTTATAATAACTGCGATAGTCTCGTAGGTTGAATAGTGCCGGAGGAAAATCGCATACATTTAGATAATAATAAAAATTAAGCTTAAATTAATGTCTACATTATTGTCTACGTTATTATTACATTGTCTCTAAAAAAACGCAATCGGCTACACCTAATAGTAGCCGGCTAAACCAAGGTGTACCCGCACTTTAGTTTTTAGCTCTAACATATATAATATAATGTTTAAATTTAATTCGTAACATAATGGTTAAATTTAATTCATGCATTTCTAAATATTTCTAAAACAAATTTACGCATCGATGTAATACTTACTATGCTGACAGATTATGCCTATAGCGGCATAAAATTCGTAAATAAAACTGCATTTTAAATGACCGACAATACTTCTCTCCCATCTTCTAGTTACATAAAAAATTAAAGTTGCCAAAATAACCATGGAACAAACGCAACACCATACAGTTTTCGAAAATGGTAGACTGTAATAAGGACGCATAACTGCATTGTATTTGCGCCGAAGAATATAGCCGAATCTGAAATAATAAAAAGTGAATAATTTTTTAATATACTAATATTAAAGTTGACCACAACAGATCACTTTACAATAATAATAATAATAATAATATTACCAAAATAATATAAAAATTATTTATAGTTTATGTTGTAGGTGGAAATATAAATCAGAATATCTACTAAAACTACGTGAATTAAACTTTAGTCGCATTGATACCAGATAACTAAACTGTTTGTAGAGTTGTCTATTTGCTGCATATGGTCAAGATATTTATCACGCAAAGAAGAAAAAACTAAAATAGCAATTTAATGATATAATTATAGTAATTAACATCTAAAATTATACGAAAATTACACTGATCACCTAAAATCATCATCATTATCACAAGTCCATTGCTAAACATAGGTAACATCGACTATAGCATTCATCGATTTATATTGTCGTCACTCCATCTAGTGGGCGCCCCCCGACACTTCGCCGAAGAGAACGTTAGAGAACCTCTTCCCCCAGCAGTTGTCGATCGCCCATAGTCACCACACAAATGTCTTTATTGGATTTACTTTAAACAATTATACTACCTCCAAACGAACATCGCTTCCACAGGATTGAAGTCATTTAACATATCAGTTGTGATAGGCGACGGCTGAACGGATAAATCTAAGGTATCATTATGGCCCAAATAAATAATATTTTCCTTGTTGTTTGCCACACTGGTGTCCAATTCCGGAGTAATGAAGGAAATACTGAAAGGCATTAACGTTATTTAAAACCTGAACATTAAATAAAATCCCGTGGGTGTCGTAAGACACATCAAAGAGAAACGAACCACGAGATTGGCAGCAGTGTCTTCCTCATAACGACTTGGAAATAAAAAACTGCGGTCTTCAAGCCACATACTAAGCGTGGCAAAAATGGCATATATCCTTCATAGATGGCCCGGTTGCCTTCAGCAATGGGCTTTGATTGGTTGTATATTGTGCACACACAGTTCAAATAGTACCGTGTGGAGAGTGTGTAAGAAAAATACACCATTTTGGCCTGTGAGTATTGTATTATGAAGTGCCAGAAATATCTTATAGTTTCTAATAGATGGCAGTTTAACCACGTCGTTTATTCACCTCATATAGTTGTTTATTAAGCTAGACATAAAATAAGATAAGCGTCAAAGATGCGACTCGTCTGACACTCATTTATGTCGCTTGACAATCCATGTGCCTACCGTGACGATTAAGGAACATAATCCCTGCAACTAATCCAGAAAGAATCGGCGCATGAGTACCGAAAACTATCCCACCTCAATTTTTTTATGCGATTCTCTTCAAATTGTTCTACTGATGATATAAATGCATGTTGCCATGGGTGGGCAACTCGGTGCCATATTGTTTAAACCGCTTTTTTTTTCTAAATCAAGGAAATTTTTTTTAAACGAAATTTTTTTTGGTATATTTTTTGATGAAATACATATAAAAAGTTCCTATAAGACTTTTTACAATAAAGTTAATATTTTCGGAGTTATGAATTTTTAAAGGTTTGAATAATCTCAAATTAGGATATTTTTGACCCATTAAAATACATAAAGAGAAAGTATAAAATATATATTTTTTTTATATTCTTTAATAAAATACAAATAAAAAAAATCTTATAACTTTTAACGACAATGTATTCGATTTTTACGATAAAATTTTTACTTACTTGAAATGAAACATCTGCTGAAGTATTAAGATAACCTTGCAACTCATCGCGTTGTTTCTCCACATCGGATCGTACTGGTGACTGAGTTCCATTGCATCCACTAAATAGCAATTGAAGAGCGAGCGCGCTTTCAAAGTTTCGTTCATATTGGTAAATAAAAACGGCCGAACTAAATGCAGAAGTACTTGGGCTATAGCAAAATTTTACTCCACAACTACTGCAATTCATACGGATAGTATTAAGTTGTACTACTTACTATCAGTACTATTGCAGTAGAAACGTACATACGTTTAAAATCCCAACAGATTATAATCGGACGGAATGACAAAGTGAACTGGAGAAATAGCAACTGTTTTGTAATGTGGATATTAATGTTATGCTGCTAGTAAGAATTACAACTGTTTAATATTTTGAAGACCTTTAACAGTGAGAAGTAAAGTTAGGTAATGATAAGCAAACAAAGTAGAACACGAAAATAAACGTACGGATACGACATAACTAAACAAGCGTAGCTGTTCTAATGAAATTCAAACATTTAATTTTCAACAGTCGAAGATTGATTCACTTTAGCGGGAACACTCGATGAACTATTTATTAATATTGTCGATATTATTCAGTTTTTGAATAACAATTTGTGGACAATAATTTCGCTTTTATGGTTTAGTCACCAGCTTTGCTAAATGGAAAACGTATTTTCATCCGACTGCCTCAGAATGAGGGTAGTGTTTTCGAGTGTATGTATGTAGGTATGTCTTTTGTTTTGGCATGCTCTGTAGCCTAAACAACTTGATGGATTCTAAAATATATACATATCATTAGATTCGTCTTAGTGGAAGTGACATAGGGTATTGAATTTTCATTTTTCAGTTAACTTTTTCACGCAGTCGGGTTTTTTTTAATTACTGTTTTGACCATTAATCTTGTTAATTTATAAGTATGTCTAAAATCTATACAGAAGGCGTTTCGAAAAAGCTATAAAAACGTTATTAAACGTACTCGTATTCCTGTATACGCAATAGAATAAAGTAACAGCCTATACATACTCGTATATGTCTCACTACTCTACAAAAGCTTAAGATGTGACGATAGAAGTCCGCAACTCTTCCCCAATGTGTGTTCGTCTTCGAAATGTTTTATTTCCTGAAATTCGCAAACAGCTTACTTACGATGTTTACATTTAGAGCCATGCATAGAACTTGAATTAAATCATTAGTGCTGGCAGGGATCGGATACAGTTTCTTCGCGTACGGTAAAATTTTAATGTGATTGCTGTCACCTGAGAAACAACAAATTACCGAACTGTAATCGAGCAAATAATTACCTAATTTTGATATTGTTAAGGAATGTTACAATATAAATCTATACCATAATGAAATTCTAAGAGGACTTTCGTACACAGATTTAAAAGGTTTAAAACATAAAAAGGTAGGTAAATTATATTTCAAGGTCAAAAATTAAATTGTAATATTTTGTTTTTCTTTTGTTGAACGAAAAATAAAGGAAAAGGCTCAGTTTCAGTTGTCATGTCACGTCATGTTTTATGATAGATTCTCTCAAGTCATATAAGACGTTAAATTACCTTAATCTTTAATAATTTATTTACTTCACATAAATAACGTTTACAACCGTAAGAAAAAGTCGCATATGATGTGTAATATCTGAAATCTGACCTTGGTAATAAGACACATTAACATTATATCCTGAAAACAGCTATTTGTTTTTTTTTATTAATAAAAATAAAAATATTAATTGAGCAGCCTCAAAATTTATAAAAGTTAAATACTGAAATATTTATTCGAATAATTATGAATTACTTGCATTGTATCAATGATCGACACTTTTTTCAGACACTTATTATCAAAAGGAAACATATTTTAATATAGTTTACACCATTGAGTTATATGTACTACGTACTAGAGAAGCCATTCCAAACAAAAATTGTGTCCTAATCTATGTCTTCGCGCATACGCGGGAGTAGTAGTCGCGCATGCGCGAAGACTTTAATATAAGATATTAATATAAAATAAATATAAGAACTTGATATAAAATATCTTAATTTAATCTAAACATATTAAATTTCTAAATAAGATGTTATAATAATTATTTTATGGAATTCACAAATCTACAATTTACGCAATATTTAGTTTGTACGGATTGCAGTACAGTTTAGTTGAACATAGTCAATGTTCGGAATGGCTTCGTAGAACGGATTAGCCCGAAATCGCCTTTCGCGATGCTTTCCGTCGCCGATTTGTGTAATTAACGTCTGGCGTAAAACAGATGGTTATATCGCCTTCTATGGGAATCCACAGTCGTAGCAGTAGTCGCCTGTTGCGTCACCCATGGAAGAAAATTGGGAGATAGATGCTCTTACACCGCCGTCACACATTAAATAAATTAAATACCGCTATCGGAAACTATTTTTACTGGAGACAAGGCATTCTACCTTAGTCCTTAGGGGCAACATCAGCATTTTGATTCTTAATCGATGATAGATTTAGATGTCCAATGCATCCACTTACTATCAGGCGTTTGTCACTATTACTCTATATAAATATAAGGTAAGCGTATCACAGTTTGCCATTTAGAGGATTATACGAGTAAACCTTAGATTTGTGAATGTTGTCTCGAGAAAAGATGTCGGTTACAAAAACTTTTACTTTGAAGAAAATGGTTTTTTTTTTTTGGTAAACTAATACATTATACGTGTAGCTTTGTTTGTTTTCACTTTTATTTTTTCAAAGATCACTCACTTGAACCTAAATTTGTAAGTAAATTTGGCTTTGTTTCTTTTTTTCGTTATTTCGTAAAGTTGTGATGTACTGAGTACGTAAAGCTGAATATTGGATTGCGTCTTCGTTAAGGTAGCCCTACACGCTAGGTTATAACCGATGGTTATGCTTGCACAGTTGAACTGTTCAAGCATAACTGAACGTGTGTAAGACATAATTTCTTGCCTGCGCAAGCAAAATAAAAAATATAGAAATTGATATTTTTGCCGCTCGGTTGTGCTCGCGCAGGTCGCTTGCGCAAGCATAACTGAACGTGTGTAGCAGGTGCGCTTCAGGCTTCAGTCATCCAGCAAATTCTGAGGGGATAAGACGTCGTCACTCATCGTTGGCGCGTCGTACGTCACTGCGCAATGATGTCGTCTCGCAAACGAAATGCAATTTTAGAAGAATTTATAGAAATATATAAATCGGAGCCCTGTATATGGCGATTGAAGGATAAAGAGTATCATGACCGAAATAAAAGAGCGGCAGCATACGAAAAACTTATAATTAAATTAAGAGAACTAGAGCCAAATGCGACAAAGGAGGATGTTGTAAAAAAAATTAATGCGCTACGAAGTAACGTACATAGAGAAAAAAGAAAGGTTGAAGAATCCACTAAGTCGGGAGCGTCAGGTGACGAAATTTATAAACCGTCGTTGTGGTACTATGACATGTTTGAATTTCTCGGAGATCAGGACATTCCTCGTACTTCACAGTCCAATATAGATGAAGCTGATCAAATTGAGGTAAGAAATACAAGTTTTTTATACAAATGTGGCGGCGGTCGTATACGTGTACATGTGTGTGTGCGTTCGTGTGGTAATTAAAAATATGTGGTTATTTTTCCGCCGAAACAGGTAATGTTTTTCGAGAGTATGTCGTACCTACTTGTATGTATGTCTATTTCTTTGGCACGTTCTGCTAGGCTATTCGCGTCGTGTTTTCAGACACTGAGCGAAGTGAACACAAAATTAAATACATAATAAAAATAGCACTGAAAAATTAACTTTACTTCTATTTACATAGAGTGTAAAATTGAATATAGGACTTACAAGACATTTCCTATGTTAAAGTATGTTAAATTTTAGACTGTATTATATAATAAAAATAAGGTTAATTTTTTTGTGTTATTTTTATTATTTCATTTCGTTTTCACTTCGCTCAGTGTGCGAAAACACAACGCGAATAGCCTAGCTGTAATCTAAATGGCTCAACAGATTTTGATGTTATTTTCTCACGTTTTCGAACTTGTATGGAAATTATTAATTTGGTTTTATTCTGTTTTATTTGATGGTTCATCCAGGAGACAGATATAAATACTTATTTGCTGTAAGGGTAATAAAACATTTATTAGCAATGCCATTATTTTTATTAGATATACCTAATCAAACTGAATACATACAATAAACTTAAGCCGCAACGAAGTTATCTTGCCACGATACGCTGCCTTCATTTACGAAGTAATTAGTAAATTTCTCTCGCACCTGTTTTGCATAGTTTGAAATGTTTCCTTGCCTTCGCTGTAAGTTAACCATAGTCGAACGGGTAGTATTATAGCCTTCCGTGATAATGGTACCATTTGCAGCATTTTCTTCATAAAAACATTCCCGGGGCGCATAAGAACTTCCTACGTGTTTCATTAAATAATTATGCAGTACGCATGTTGCCATCACTATTTTTTCTATATTCTTTGGCTCTATATTTATTACAGTATGGATTATTCGAAACCTAGATGCTAAAATACCAAAAGCATTCTCAACAATATGTCTAGCGCGAGACAATCTATAATTAAATATCTTTCTTTCGCGTGAATGCAAGTCAGCTTGTCGAAAAGGTTTTATCATATCAACTCTTAAAGGGAATGCGTCATCAGCAACAAATACGTATGGGAGACTTGTTGAGCTGTTTTTGACAACTTCAGCGTCTGGAAGTTCCATTTTGTTATCTTGGAGCATTTCAAAAAACTTGGTATTCTGTAAAACACCTCCATCAGAAATTCTGCCATTTGTCCCAAAATCAACCAGCAGAAATTCGTAATTAGCATCTACTATTGCCATAAGCACCATACTGTGTCGTTTTTTGTAATTATAGTAATACGATCCGCTGTCAGCAGGTGGAACTATGTCAATGTGCTTACCATCGATCGCACCTAAGCAATGAGGAAAATTCCACCTTTCTTCAAATTGTTGCGCTATATTTCTCCATTTTTCAGATGACTTAGGAAACTGTAACAAAAATTATTGTTTTAGGAAATTGCTGATGCCAGGGATAGTAATGAAACTTTGGATACAGTAACTTCAGAAAATATAAATATAGCACAAAACTCATCATCCCAAGAACAGCAGCAAGAGTCAGCGGCGAAACGACCAAGATCATCAAGACCCGGTAAAAAAAACAACGAGCCAGAAAAACTAACGAACGAAGTATTAACTTCTATTAGGGATCACTTTAAACGACCTGTAGCTTCACCACCACCGCAAGAAGACCGGTACCTCTAGCTTTTCCATTGCTGTTCTCCGCGCATGCCATCCATGCGCAAACTCGGCCTAAGGTCTCCTTACCGTCCACGAGGTCCGGGTAATAAATCAGACCCATCCTTCCGCGTACTATTCCGTCCATCATCTTGCATCCTCATAGGCAGCACCGCAATCACCCATACCAGATTCAACCTATTTCATTTCATACAGTCTCGTTCGAAAGCATACATGTCCGCTGAGGATCTAAGCGACTTGATAGTCCGGCACGACCCAATTCGCATTGAGTCGCGCTGACACGTCCAGAAAGAAACTGAATAACTCTCTTCCATTCGTCTCATTATTCCATCGTTCTTGCCATACATTCAAGACATCCACTCAAATCTCACGCTTACGTCTGCTCAACTCCCCATTTCTCGCGCCTGCTCGCGCACGTTCGATGCTACCAGCATGTGTCACCTCCAGGTCAGCCGGATGAGCATGGAAAGTCGAAGTATTTTGTCAACTTATCATTGGGTTTGAGAAAGAAAGAAAGAAAGAAAGACATTTATTGTTGAAAAAAGATTGAAACAAGGGAAGACCCATTTGGTTGATTTAATATTACTTGTTGTGAACGGCCGCATAAGTAACTTTGAAACCATTTTATGGAAGATGTTACAAAACCATAAAACGATAGCTTAGACAGCAGCAAATCTATGTTAATAGAATCAAATATTTTAAAAAAATCAAGTAGGGTAAGGATAGTACCTCTACCAAAGTCTTGAGATGAAAGAATATTGTCAACCACGTCAAGTAAAGCAGTAGACGTGCTTCTACCTTTTCTAAAACCCGATTGTAAGTCAGGTAAAATATTGCTAGCATCATAAAACTTGATGATTGCTAACAGCTTGGTTTGCTAACAGTTTAAGAAACTGGAACCAATTTAAGCAGACCAGGAACGGGAAGAGCCAGATGTTTGCCACCTTGAACGAGAGGAAAAAAGATATCTCGTCTTAACCATGACAAATTACGAAAATTACACTTTCTGCAGTTGGATACAAACAATTATGCATAGATAGATTTTCTCGAGGCAGGGCCATGGTGCAACTATATTATAGTTGTAGCACAAACGGGTTGGCTCGATCGGGGAAGAACCACGCTCTCACAAAATACTGGCATAAAATAGCAGCTCGATGCTGAAAGAAGACCCTTTTAAATAGATACGAGCCATTCCATCTTAGTCTTCAGGGTAGAGAACGCATCTGCATTTTGATTCTTAATCGTGGATATAATATGTATGCTACAGCATCCCTTTACCATCAGGTGGATTATGTGCTCGTTTGTTTCTTTATATATACAAAAATACATTCGGTTATTTCTTACACTACTTTCGCCAAACTGCAGGGCAGTTTATTGGCGATTTATGCAAGCATCTATGCAGGTCTAGAAATAGCAGTATCACTACACCCTATAAGATCTATTGTGATTGTTGCTAAGTTTTTAGTTCACTGCTAAGCCCTATGTCTTCAATGAATTGAAGGAGTTTCTTAGCTGTGAATAATTTCACTTTTTCTGGGCTATGCACATAGTTTCACAGATAAGTGTTACGTTTGCACATTAAAGGTCCACAATCAGAATATGTAGAGGTGTTTCTTCCGTTAAGGAACAGAATCGGCACATCCTTGGTTACTTAGCCCCAGGATAGACATGTGTTTTTTTAGACTACAGTGTCTAGTCAGGGCTCTTGCCAGAATGCGCAATTTATGCTTACTTAATCACAGAGCGTATGAAGCGAATTTACGATCACAAGCCCGGATTAAGGTTTTAGAATGTTCTAAAGCATGATGTATCAGATCAGACCTTAAGTAATTTATTATGATAAGGAGTTTCAAGGGTCAATCGGGCCTAAGATTAAGCGGCTTTAAGATTCCACAAAAAGCTCGGGTTCAAATTGTGTACGCTTTGAGTCCTCCCGTGCAAGCTTATCATCAAGTCCATTGCCCACGATGCTCGCAGGACAGGAACCCATCTCAAAACGATCCTGTTGTTACACCCCATGGCGTTTAGACAGTTCACACAGTCTCCAACTAGCTTCGGAGTAGAGTTTAAGTTTGATATCAGCGCTAGCAGTACTGCTTGACTATCAGAGTTTATATAGACAATATGGTTGCCGTAGTGCTTTTGCAGGTTGATTTCCGCACAGTAAAGTGTGACGAAAATTCTGCCTGGAAGATAGAGGTGAATTTGTCCAAATATATACTAAGCTTGAATTCGGGGCGTTCCCCATAAATTTCAAAGCCTACGTCGATGCCTAGTTTTGGCCCAACCCTATACAATATAAGGCTACCAACCTCACAAATAACCTGTCCATTCCAGTCCAGCCAGTCTTCTTTTCAGGATAGCTCCACTATGTACTTCTTATTAAAAGCCTATAGTGAACGCTGAGATCATGCAACATTCATTGAGTCGAGCAGGGATCTTAATCGGTAGGAAAACAGATCGCCCTGGCTGTTAATCCTATACAAACTAGCCCTCGCCTCCTTGTCTAAATAAAGATAAAGGGGCGTTAGGTATGTCTACTTCTATGAGAAGTGCATTAATAGCCGCTCCAGTTGATGATCGCATCGATCCAGTTACCTTTAAACAGATTGTCTATTCTTTGTAGACTCTTTTAGCCTGTCCGCTGTCGTCTTTTGGTTGGCATTATTACACCAAACAATGGAGGCGTAGGTAACAATTGGCCCCACTATGCTGCTTTACAGCCATAGTATCAAACTGAAACGCAAGCCCCAGTTGTTCCTAATAATACGACTGCACGTACCTAAAGCAAATTTTACCTTATTGCATACGTTGCGAAGGTGAGAGTTCCATGTTAGGTTTTGGTCGATTGTAACGTCCAAATACTTAACTACATTTGGGAATGGTACTTCTTTACCATTGTGCTTCGGTGTAACTAATTTGTCCAACTGTCTCTTTTTGGTAAAGGGTATTATATAAAAGTTTTATGAGCATTAACTGATAAACTGTTACGCCTACACCAGTTATACTTTGAATAGAGTTAAAAAAATACAATTAAATCTTCCTAAGAAGCAAACTATATTCACCAATAGACTTTTGATAAGCTATAATGATAATGATAATGAAAGAAAATAACACAATAAATAAAGATTAAATTGAAACATTTAATTGCTGAATTCCAAAAGAATTTAGTTTTCAAGAGTGTCATTTGATGTCCATTTTAATTACATAATACATACATACATAAACACTCACGCCTGTCACCCAGAGGGGTAGGCAGAGATTATGGACTTCCATTTGGCACGATCCTGACACACCTCTCTCGCTTCCTCCACATCCATATACCTACGCATACACGCTCGTCGGTTAAAGGTACTCTCTTCTTTACTTTAATTACATTGCAACAAATATATCGAAATTCACCTGGAAAACTTTATCATCAATCGTCTATTATCGTCAATATCATGTACATTAACTTATTCAGTATAAGGCCATACTTTATTTCGTTCATTATTTATTCTTTCTGCTACTAGAATTATGCAGACCAAAACATATGAAACCAACATTATAATTAAGGGACTAAGAATGTGATCGAATTGTGTATTTCTGTGGAAAGCATTAATGGTGCAGCTCAATGGAGTATAGTCATTCATAACTATTATGCGTTTCATGATACCAGATTCTTTCATGCGTAGAGTTCTGGAAAATAACCAAAACATTTGTCTGAGATATGAAAAACGTACCTAAGAAAACATTTAATAATTACACTATGAAAAGGAAAATATTATTAAAAAAAAAGAAACGAACTTACATCTTTACTACATTTATCTGTCTAGGAACTAATTTTTCAATCATCAGTTAAAAGTTGTGTTTTAACTAATTTATAACCTGACTAAATATAAAAACCAAACAATTGAACTCTTTTATTCAAGCAGCTGTAATTTTAACTTGTTTATATTGCATTTTATGCTATAAATAACTGTTATCTGTTGATTGAAAAACCGTACCATAGTTATAAATTTTAATCTGAGTTTACATCAATTTACGGTACTCATAATATTTTACATCATGCTATTTTTAAAATCAATCATCATTACTAATTATTTTGCCGACAATTTAAGTTTGGTTTTAATTAGTTTGCGTAAAAAGTTAGTTTCCTAGTTAAGTTTACTTTCCTAAAACATAAACGCAAATTATATCATGAATAAAATTAAAACTTTATTCATACAGTAAGACAGTTTTGGTTTAAAATAAAGTTTTAATTTAATTCATAGTATGAATTGGTTTAAGTTATTATGAAAGTTCAGAATATTTTTTTAATATAATAAAATAATGTCTTCCAGATCGAATTTAGGCCACGGCAGGCATTCTCAACAGGAATAAGCCACGTGCAGGAAGGATTATAGTGCCCTAGTGTATGCGCAAGCACAGGTGCACCCTCTACCTATAGCTTAACGTGCTTTCAGAGGCATGAGGGTAAATGAAACACCGCCAAATTACAGGCACTGGGCAGCTATTGAGAATATTTTTTTTTCTGTCATGACATATCATTTAACAAAGAGCTAACAGACACGTCAGTAAGAGACTGCTTCAGCGCATGGACAGTTGCGACCAAACATCATACACAGAAGACCCTTATTAACTTCCATACCAAGATGGACCTCTAGAAAGAAAAAGAACGTGTTAGAGCCATGCTTAAACGTGGTAGAGCCATGCTACAGCTATATTAGTAGTACAGTTGAAGCACGAATGGGTTGGCTCGATCTGGGAAGGACCACGCTCTCACAGAATACCAGCGTAAAATAGCAGCTTAACACTGCTGTGTTTTATGATGAGTGTAGAGAACCGGAGACACTTTTTACTGGAAAAAAGGCATTCCATATTAGTCCTCAAGGGTGACAACGCATCTGCATTTTGATTCGTAATCGTGGATAGATGTGGATGTCTATGTATCACAACAACCACTTACCATCAGGTGGACTGTGTGCTCGTTTGTCATATCCTATAAAAAAGAGCGTACAAACTTG